AAATAAAAATTTTAATAATAATATGATTTTAATAGTGTTGGTTTACAATCTACATGTGTCAGATTAAAACTAATACATGTCAGATGACCAATCAACAAATAATATGGATGACTCCAAGGCAGCCCCCACAAAGTTCAGGTTGCAGCATATACTTCAGACCAAAATTACGTAATGCAGGTTGACCTGCAGCTTGTTTATATAAAACTACCAAACAAATTTGAGAATATATAGTGATATTGATCATCAAACCCGAACTTCGGAGAGGCCGCTCTGGAAAACAGGAGGAAATATTGATGTTATACAACTGATTTTACACACGGTGTGAAATACATAAAAAAATTATTTTACAATACTTGATCGCACTTGATCAGTCAATTAGTACATATTATGATTATAATCCCACACCATTTTTTATTATAAAAAAATAGTGTGATATTATAATCATAACATATACTAATTGACTGATCAAGTTTGATCAAGTATTGTAAAATAATTTTTTTATATGTTTCACACTATATGTAAAATTAGTTGTGTAATATCAACATTTCCTCCTATTGTTCTGGAGTCGTATAATATGCGTTACCAAGAATACTAAGCCACAACATATAAATATCAAGAATATAATCTAAAATGCACCTGGCTTTAACTCGATTTACTTATTTGCGTGGGTATCACAAACCAAAAAAGAATCAAATTTTGTAAATAAATCAAGTGTGTAAAAATAGAAATTTAGAATTAAAATGTTAGGGTTGTATACTTTAGTGATAAGTTGAAGTTTTTTATATGTAAAATTTCATCTCGTTATTTTTTATTAGTCAACCAAGATCGATTTAAATACTAGTTTTTGAGTATTATACTTTTTTTCTTTTATTTCTTTCACACGTGTTCGGATTCTATATCAGGCTGATTCAGAATATCTAAAATTTGTGTTCTCTGATTGGTCATATCCTTTTAAAAGTTTGTATTACCCCTGATATGAAGAATAGAGTTGGATCAGTCTATTCCAGTCCGCCTAGTCTCTAGTAAGACCGGTTCATTAGTATCTATGGTCTGGTACATGGTCTCAAGAATAAGCTATTTTATGTAAGTGATTATCAATTTTGGCTATTTTCATTAAAGTAAAATTTATAAATAATGGCTTTTTACTATTTAAAAGCTTATTTTAATAGTTTATTATTAATCGGTCTGAACTGGTTAAAAAACTAAAACTACTAAAGAAGATTGTTTTGATTTTCTGATCTTTCGATATAATTAAATCAAAATCACAAGGGAAAAATAAAAGCTACCAACTATATTAATACCTAATTTACATTATTTTTTTCAAAAGTCTTTTACTTGGTAAATGCTTCTTATTGAAAATGTCAACTTCTCTTGCTCGTATATGTAAAAAACCTGGAGATGATGAGATAAACATATTTTAGTAATAGACAAGTGAGCTTTTTTCTGTTGAGTTCTTTCGTGAGATCACTTAAGTAATTTGTTCGTTGTGATAAAAAGGTACAACATATACAGAACAATATTGCAAAAGTGATTTCATTCATTATGTAGTCATTCGAAGCTACAAAGAAACCTTTGTGAAGTCATCTAAGGGTAATTCCGTTTGATCTGCTTATTCAATTGAGGCCACTAGGATATCACTTAACAAAGTTTCTTGAATAAGTTCTACTGATTCTAAAGAAAAAATCAGCTAGATTTCTTATTAAGAAATTTACGCTTGCTGTATATTATAAAAATAGGTTACTTAATGAACACTTTATTAATTTGATTTTTTATTATATTTAGGATAAAGAAAATTCCCACAATGAAAGAAATCTAAAAATTCAAATCGTATACTAAGGTATATTATTAGGTTTTGATCTTTGAATATCTGTGATAGGGGTGTTATCCTGCTTATCTGAATGCTCGCCCTTGCTCGAAATCTAAAATGAATCCCTAACCTTCGAATAATCAAGTTACTCGAATTCATCTTTTTTATCTTAGTGATATTAATGAAAATGATATACTAGACTATATCGATCTATCAGACTTAAAGATTAATCTAAACATATTAATACCATCAAATATAAAGTATTTCAACTTGTATAACGTATTGAAACAGAAAAGTTACAAGAACTAATGAAGATAGCTGAGCAAAAAGATGTAAAAAAGTTAAAGTTAGTTGAAAGAATTATGAGAACTAATGAAACTCAGAGGCTAGGAGTGATGAAACGAATTATCAGGACAAATAAGTCAGAAAAATCAAAGATAGTTGAAAAGGTAGAGTCATATAATAAGTTAAATCTACGGTTAGAAAATATAATCGGTGTTAAAGAAGGGTTAGAGTTCATCTGATCCCAAGTAAGTTTTAACACTTAACGTGTAGTTTCTTGTTTTGTTATTTGGTTTTTGATTTATTTTTTTTATAACAAATTCTATATAAGCACAACAGTGGTTCATTTGAAGAACCAAATGATAAAGTCTTACCATATTTATCAAATGATAAAACATTTACTGATTTTTTAGAAAAGTCGTGTAAAGAAAATTATCTTCAAATTGATGATATCAAAAGGTGTCTTGGAGGATTATATCACACAGCGTCAAAATATTTACACAGACATGAAAATATCATCATAGATCAACAATCTTGGTCTTCAAATAAGATTTTTTTATTAGCATTTATTTTTAAATATTTTAATATTACCTATATTAAACCTTTATTGTTTACGTATATACGTAGAATATGATCCGGAAAAAAATTTTTGATATAGGAGAAAACCTGTTATAGTAATCTCATAATGATCTTGATCTAAAAGACAGACAAGTTATGCAGCTTCATCATCTGGTTGTTCCGTGGGTTTAAAGATAGGTTCCTCTACAAGTTCATGCATTAAATATTTTTTGTTTAATCGATGTTTTTTTTGTATATACAAACTGGTATTCTCTGGTTGTTCTGTGGGTCTGAAGTTGGGTTCCCCTATAGCATTAGACATTGTTTGTTTAACCGATATTTTTTTTTTGTATATGCAAACTGTATGTAAATGTATATAGCAATAAATTGATATGACAAATTGTTGATGACACTTTAAAGTAAAATTTTCTGGCATTAATATATCTTATTGAAGAGACATCGCATGATCTAATAATCTACCCGAAGACATCAACCTTCCATGAGACTGAATTAATACTTTGAATTAATATACAGAAAAATGATCT